AAATATCAATGTTATTTCAGTAAAGGTTAGGCTTACCTAGTTTAGAGACTAGGTGCCATCACGACTCCTCGGAGGAATTTTTTGGTCGTGACAGGAACGTACGTACAATTTTTTTTTTTTTTTGGTATATAAAGTAACATTATGTACGTATATGCACGCAAACATACCTATACCATGGACTTTATTTTGAGAGTACAATAGATAAGGCATGAATTACATTTTGTAGATGTCTTTACGGTAATTAGCGAGTCCATTACTTAAATGGCCATTTAGCTATTCGAAATTATCTAGTAAAGTCATCTTTCTTTCGTTTGTAACAAAAAAGTCACTTACTATACCATAGCACTCACAAGGTCAGTCAAGCAGATTGCTCAAACTTTTGATTGTCAAATACCTATTTTACCGTATAAATTATCAATTTTAATCTTTTTTTTTACTTTTAAAATATTATGATATTTCCTCTTTTTAAACTAAACTATGGACCTACCTATAGAATAAATATATTTTATTTATAAAACCAAAAAAAAAGTTTTCTAGCTTATATAATGTTAGAATAATAATATAATTGAGCATACTTTTAAAATTATTATTGAACAAATTTTTCTAATTAATTCTTTTACTATGTTCGATCTTTNGTTTCATTAACTACTTGACTTCGTGTTTGATTTTCCTTATTATTGACTTGTATATTGTGGGATCGTTGCTTACGTGTTAGTTTTTCCGCTATTTGAACTTGTTCCCTTAGTGCCAGTTAGTTCTTTTTCGTGTGGTTATTCCTTTTGAGCTGGTTCTACCATTTTCTCGTGATTTACAGCCCCTGAGTTGATTTACTTGTCTTACCTTGTATTATTGTCATTTGTTGTTGTTATATGTATTACGATGATATTTGATCCTTCGGTTGTGATGTAACTGTTGATTCTGTTGGTTGCGTTGTGTATTTATTTTGGGACTACGGATTAGATTCCCGGGAGATCCCCCTGCATATTTACTTTGGGACTACGGGTTAGATTCCCGGGAGATCCCCTTGCATATTTACTTTGGGACTACGGTTAGATTCCCGGGAGATCCCCCTGCACAGTTATATGGAACTACGGGAATGCACCCGGTAGATTCCCCTAGTACTGGGTATTTACATTTGGGACTACGGATCGGGATTCCGGTAGATCCCCGTGCATTATGAGTTGGACTACGGGACTGCACCCGGGAGATCCACTGGAGATTTGTATTTGGGGACTACAGGACGGTATCCTGGGAGATCCCCGGTTGTTATCTCTGTGCTGAGCTGTACTCATTCCGTGATTATTTTGTCTCCGTTGTAATTGTTGTTATCAATTCAAGTGTTTTAATAGTTTAGATTCCTTTACGGCTATGATCCTTCGTGTGGGAATCCATAGTGTTGACAATACCTCGCCCTATTTGTTTTATATATATTCAATACTTCAAATTTCAACAATTGTTACATGTTAACTCAATTGATTTCTCAGCTAAATTTTCCTTAAACCGTCTGAGGTTGTACTTTACTTAAAAAGGAATTTCTTCTATGTTTTGATTTATTGATTTCTCGTATTAAAGGTAATAATTCATTCGATATTGTACTTTTATTTAAAAGGGTATTCTCTTTATCAAATGATTTCTACGAATAACTTCATCTTTTCTTGTTGATTTCCTATTTGGGTTGGGAGCTGTACTCTACTTTATGTTAAGTGAATGAGGTTCCTTGAACATTCTTAATTGTATTGGGTTATGGAACCTATGAACTGATTAATATGAGGATATTGTTGTGCAATATGAGACAAAAATATGTAGGCACGAGGTGCCGTGAAAATATGAAAGTGGGCTGAGACCTATATTATTTATGATTATGAAAAGTGGCATCACAAGGTGACTTTTCCTCGAAAGAATTATATTCGAAAGATGCTTACTTGGAAGATACTTATTTGAAGGAAATATATATTTATTGAAAAGCATATTATCTTAGAGATTATTACTTGAAGGATTTATAGGTGAAAGATTTATATTTGAACGACTTGATTAATTGATTGCACTTGTATTTATTATTTGTTGAGAAGCATTTATGGTGTTCTTATTGCCTGCTATTTATATCACTGGTCGATCATTGTTCGCCATCATTGTTATCTGCTTCCTATTATTTTGTACGCTATATTGTACAGGTTTATTTGGTAGTCTGGTCCTAGCCTCGTCACTACTTCGCCGAGGTTAGGCTAGGCACTTACCAGCATATGGGGTCGGTTGTGCTGATACTACACTTCTGTACATTTCGTGTACAGATCCAGGTTTTTGGCCGATAGTAGCTGTTCGTTGCGGTGGAGACTCAAGGTAAACCTGCTGCAGCGTTCGCGGTCCTCGGAGTCACCTTCAATTGTACTTATTCCCATATGTTCCTTTTGTTCGGAACAGTGATGTATTTATTTGTATAACTACTCTTAGAAAAGCTTATGACTTGTACTACCAGTTTTGGGAATTGTAAATTGTTTTGAGAAATTTCATTTGAAGTTAATAAATATCAATGTTATTTCAGTAAATGTTAGGCTTACCTAGTTTAGAGACTAGGTGCCATCACGACTCCTTCGGAGGGATTTTTGGGTCGTGACATAATTGATATGGTTAAATGCCAATGCCGTATTGCATTTCGGAAAGCTATCAGCAATCTTGTTGTCTTAACAAGAGTAGTTGCTAGTGCTCAAGATAATCTATATGAATATTACTTATAATGAAACCCTATATGAATATTTTTAATTTGCTGTCACAAGTTCCGATTAATTATACATTTGCTTTTGCTGTGCTGACATGATATTTGATGTTCTGAAGAGCCTTATATTCCACTACTAGCTGAATGTCCTTGTTTGATTTGGACTACTACTGAGACGAAAGTTGAAAACAATATGTTGTCTAGGAGAAAGTTGAAGTTCCCTTGTTTTTGTCCCGTTGTCGACAAGGCTTTGCACATTAGTCTCCATTTGCAATTTACTGCCTTCCATATTAAATAAGAAAAACAAGGAGCATTGAAGGGTACGTGGTTCTGAGGATAAGCAGTTGTTGTCACCCCCAAAATCGGGAGGAAGGTGACGGGCAATCAGTGCATTAGACTTACTATAAGAGCAAACCAACATTCATTATATACTTAAATAGAGATAGTGCCGTGCATCATATAACAGAAATATCATAGTTTGAAACCATAAACATGTGGCTATTCGCTTAACATCATATTGAACTTTTATACATAATCCATGAAATACACATGATATTATTCTGACCATAATTACATGACCCACAATGTACGCATATAGCAAACATATTACCAAGTCCTATAGGCACGTTATCTACCCATTGCATGTAGGTATTAAATTCTACCCATTCCCTTTTTATTAACAACCCCAATTGTTCATACAAAGGTTATTACAGGTCCAATAATGAGTAAAGTAGCAATATTACATAACAGTGAATAGGCCTATAGTAGGCCCAAATAAAATAACTAAATACCCAGCATTGCCGGGCCTTCAATATCTCTTTATGTAGCACACCCAGGCCTTCAACAAAGCCAGTTAATGTGTTTTCTTAGTGTTAGTCTCTCCTATCAAGGCATTCATCTTTGAGTCTCCGACTTCCAACTTTTTCGTCTTTTCAGCCAGATGTCTCAGTTTTCCACGACCATAGATTGCAAATTTTACGGACTGTGCCCATTCCAGATAGTTCTTCCCGTTTAATCGATGAGAAGTTAGCTGGAAGGACATGTGAGTGGAATCTCCTCCTTGTGTCACCATTTTCTGCCGGAGCTTCAAGAGAAGGACTTTCGGCTTCTCTTGATGTTGCAGAGTGGCGCTCTCCGTGAAAGGTTGTTTTGGCCATAAGGTATTAGGGAGCAAAATCCCGCTCTGATACCATGAAACTTTAGACACAAAAAAGGCAACATGTTGGCATCCCCCTCCAGAAACAAGGATTTTGAAAGCCCAATAACCTTGTAACATAGGTAAAGCATTTTGTCATTATAAAACATATTGGCGCATTTTAGAAAGCCGGTCCAACATGTCTTCTATACTCCAACATATATACCTCAACATCTGGATGTAGAGATTATTCCCATCAAAGTTGTCTATGGCTAAAGATTTGTACTGGTGCTTTGAGAATAATGATCCACAGTAATAGTGCAATATATATTGTTTCAGCTGTCTGTAACAGTATTGCTGTTATACCTTTATCATGTTAACCTCTTACGCCAAACCAGGACATTATGGAAAAAAATGGTTTTTCCTACTTGTGAAGGAGAAATATTTTTCTTTAAAAATTCCCAACCCCTACTCAATATTATTTGCTCTAATCAATACTAAAAAAAGTGGCTATCGAAAGAGAGGTTGGTGTACCTAACTTTTCGTGCATACAGCAATTGTGGTATTCACGAAATACAAATTAGTATTTCGAGTATAATTTTGGACATAATTACTATATTTTCTCATGACATAAAATGGTCGCTTTTATTTCACGAACTTGTTGTCTTTTCTGTGTCCAAATTAGTTGCATTGGTTACTTTTATTTCTTAATGGCATTCAGCCCAAGTTAATAGAATCATTTGTGTAAACATCTGGTAGGAAATTCAAGCAATCAACCGAGTAGAAATAAAATTCCACAATCAGCTGATGCGAAGAAGACGCTAAACATCAATGCAATTCAAGGAATTGTGCCATTAGGGTTAAGCCAAGTATTGGTGATGACTCCTCACTACAACAAATTTGGTCTACGGCAACATTAACTTTAGGCAACGCTTGAAAAGTGTTCCCAAAAGCATCTAAAGGGGCGTTTTTCTTGGGGTGGCCTTTGTCTCTAACTTTGGCTACGATGTTTAGGTTACGCTTCAAAAAAGTGCTTTTAAAAGGTAAAGAGTACGCTCCTTCAGTGTTGTCGAATCACAAAATATTTGGCAACACTTAGTCACCTATAATACAACGCTTTTTAACCGTTGATATTTCTTAAGCCTAAAAGCTACACTTTGTAAGTGTGGTCTAATGAGTTTCACCAAAGATTTCCCGCAATTTCTTAATTAATGAAATAATTCCTCCCATTTTGAAAGGGAAAATAAAGGTTTCGGCTAAGTTCTATTTTGATTCGCGATTACCCGTTCCTTCCCCTCCCCCCAAATTTATCTTTATTCTTTCCCAAAATTAATCTGCTTACTAACAATGGATCTCAGAGACGGAAATCGGGAACTTCCATCGGTTGCTGCTTCTAATTGTTGGAAACCTTAAAAAAAATTTAGGGCCGTTGAACTTTAATTTGTGTGAGTACTTTCCTCTCTTCTCTCTTGGGTTTTCGATTTCCATTTCAACTAATGTATGTTCTCTTTATTTTTTAGCTATTGCATTGTATGCTTCTTATTTTTCTCTATTATGTAAAATTTTTGTTGTCTCCTCGCTCATTCTAGAATTCTCTTTCTGATTTTGCTCTTATTGTGTCGTATTCTTGTTATCGTCTCGCTATTTCTGGTTACCCTTGCTGCTCTAAGGAATTCGGCAAACCTAGTCTTTGGTGAATTCAAGTTGGAACAGGAACTCTAACCGACTAAGCAACTCTATATAAAGGAGCTGTTAAGTGTTATTTATAGTCAGGAAAAATCTCAATATAGTCCATATGTCAGCTTGTTCATTTTTACAAGTAATTTCCATACCATCATTTGATGGCTATTGAAACTTTGACTTCTTCAAACCTTCACTGGCTATTCAAGTTGGAATATTTTTAGCCATTGTAAGACCCTTTAATGACATTACCTCACTGTTTGTTTTGTTCATTTTATTTTGCCCCTTCATAAGGGTTTGTTTTCGATAATCCATCATATATAGGTAGCCGCAGAACCAGCTTTGGCATTGGCAGGAGTGAATAATGAAGAAGATTTTACTTGGGTATTTATTCAATTGGCATTCTCTACCTTCTTTACTTCATTGTTTGCCTTGTAAGTGGGAACAAAAGAATAGCACAGGACTTTCTAAAATTATGCTAGTTTCTTATACAATCTTTGTTATTTATTTAGTTACTTTGGCAATTCCTTAAGATGTCAGATTCCAGCTTATCATAATGACATGTATGATACCTATTGATACATACACTACATTTGGGTTTAGTCATTCTACAATATGAACTGTCAACACTTCTCAGCATTTGGCTGTTTGGTTCGAACTGCTTGTAGAAAAGTTGCATCCTATACAAGCCACATCCAGTTAGGAATAGAAAAAAAATAAAGTACAAGAGTTTAATGCAGAATGACGTTTTAATATGTATTGTCCAGTTAGTGGAGCTGCGCATGGGCCAATATTTTCCTATGAAAGCAATGGATAACAATACAATGCTTATTGAAACAAGAAAAGGAGAAAATTATAGCATCAAAAGCATTATTGCTCCTTAGTTTTATATTAGCTTTTGTCAATGAGCAGACATCTTCTTTTCTCAATTGTAATTTTGTTTGCTTCTTCTTGATTCATGTTAATGAAATCATTTTACCTCACGAAAAAAAGAAGAACATAATGCTTAACCAGTGGTTGATGGTTTGCTAGTCATAGGAGATTCTATTTGTGAATGCTGAACTGGCGATTGATATGTTGCTTTACTTATACCAGTTGCATCTTCTCTGTGTATTTTTTTCTTATTTTCTCTATATTAAACAGTCTCTTTTGTATTGATTGTCGGACGAAAATGATCCGTACTTTGAATTCCTACCCTCTGTGATTCTTAGTTATCTTAGTTTATGAAAGATGATACTTTCTATTACAAGCAGTTATACGTAGCATAATGTACTTCATATTTTTAAGAGAATCAATTGATTATCATTTTAGTCTATTAATATATTCTTGATGTGGATACATTCTTTGATGGTAGATAGTAGTTTTGTATGATTTATTCTAAGATTTATACAGTCTTACCACACTCAAGGATGCTTCGATTGCTGAACGCAAAGTGAGTAATAACAAGCATTTGACCTTCACGAGGAACCTGCAGGATTGAGAGGTAGAAACAGTTACTCTTTTCTTAGTAGATTGAAGTCTACTCAAACTTACTAAATTTTATTATCGCTCTGTCTGATTAGTCCAGACCCCACTTGTGGGATTCCACTGGATTGTTGTTGTTGTGGTTGCCTGATTATTGAACTGTTGATAATTTAAACCCCACAAATGAAAGATAAAAAAGATAAGATATGGAATAGAAAGAAAAAGAAAATAGCAGGTATGTGATAATGCGTTTAGAAGCCATTCCAATAGTGAACTACCAGGTTTATTCTTATTATCTTAATATCACATGCAGACTGAAAGAGGATATTCCAAAATAGCTTGTCGTCACTTTTTAACAATATAAGCTCTTTCAGTATTTTTTGGAAAACTTCTGCTTATTCTCTAGTATACTACTAGTATTTATATAGAAGCATGCCTTTAAGTTTAGTGATGGTGCTTGTAGATTGCTGCTAGTTTGTTTTCTATGTGCGCGTGATGAGTAGAGTAAAAAGTGGTGATGAGTAAAGGAGGAAAAGAAACTGGTAGTTAAACTAGTCAGTATAATCTACAATCTATCAAAGTACTTGAACATTTTCATTTAGATCTGCACCTTATCTCATACAAGGCAACAATAGACAGTTAGTTCATCTTTGTTTGTTTCAATTGCAGGTATGGGGAGGCAAAGATACTAAATAGAACAAAGAGATTACAATTAGGGAACTTAAGGCCCAGAAACATTCAGAAGTTTTTGCTGGTTTGAACAAGGAAAGCTCACCTACTGCTTAGATTATTGGGTTGGTCAAGCTTATGAAAATGGATCAGTTACAAAATTACGAGATTGATGTGAAGGGTTCTAAGGCCTAAGGGGATCGCAAATGGAGTTTCTAATTTATACTAGCATCAGTAGTATAATGTGTTTAAGGTGTTATTCGTGATAGAATGTATCTTATTTTGTAAAGTTCATCTCCGGTGGCGACCTTTGAAAATTTTGCTTTATTAGTTAATTTAGTAAGTACATGATATATATATTTCTTTTGCGAAGTTCATTGCAAGTGTATGGACTTTGAATCTTTTCTTTTTGTTTATTAGTTAATATAGTGTTTGAGATCTTCATACTTTAGCAATGATCTCATAAGATATGAAAATTTTGATGATTAATGTGTTATACATATATATATATATATATATATTAACAAAGCAACGCTTTAAAAGCGTGGCCTCAAGGTAGGAAATGTAACCTTTCAAACATGTAGCATTAGGACATGAAAGCGTTGCCACATGAGGTATTACAAGTGTAACTTTTGTATCTTATAGGCCACACTTTCGAAGTGTTTTTTAAAGCAACGCTTAAAAAACGTGCTCTTAGGGAAAAGGTTACGCTAGTTTAGGCCACCCCCCGAAAAGCGTTGCTTAACGTCAAAAGGTGTGGCCTTTGACAAAACACCACACTTATTGGTAGTTTAGGCCACACTTTTCAGGGGTGGCTAAAGACCTAAAATGTTGTAGTGCCAATGGCTCCGGCGATGACTCCACTGGTTCCGACGAAGATTCCACCGGCTCGATCAGGTGGATCATGGGCAGATAGAGTGGAGGCGGAAATTACAGAGACGAGGGAGATGAGTAAGGCACAATTGAGCCCTTAACAAGCTCATGGAGTAAAATTGTGGGAACAGTACCGGAGGAGGAGGGTTTAAACCTAAATTGTGAGGAATTGGCAGGAGAAAATGTCAAATACAATGGATGATATCAAAGATGAAATTGTTTATTGGAAAACAACAGTGATATGTTATGTTTTGGGATCTAATCCCCCACCGGCTGTAATTGATGGTTACTTTCGGAGGATATGGGAAGGTTTGGGTATTGATAAAATTGCACAAGTCAATAGAGGAGTTTTTCTGGTACACAATTGAAAATAGAATCAAAGTAATTGAGGTTCCAGGGATGCCCAAATTTTCAAGTGAAGCTTGCACAGAAAAGGAATATAATGTTTATTTTAGTTCTTATTGTATAGAAGTTTGGTATATCAACAAAGCTAATTCTTAATACGGAAGAGGTCCAAATATGCCCGTGGACTATTTGAAATAGGACAAATATGCCCGGCGTTAATAGTTTGGCCCAAATATACCCAAACCGTTCAATAGTTGTGCAAATTTGCCATTTTTTAACGGTAACAGTATTTTTTCTTTTCTTTTTTTAATTAATTAAAATCAAAATATTTTTTTTCTAAAGAAATTTTTCTAAAAGTTTTTTTACTAAAAACTGAAGAAAAAACGGAAATAAAACAGAAATAAAATCTAAAAAGCAATTTTCTAAAGCAATGTCTTTGTAAAAACTGGAAAAAAAAACTGAATTTATTTTTACTAAAAATTGAAAAAACGAATAAAAAACTGAAAAATTATTTTCTAAAACAATGTTTTTGTAAAAACAGAAATAAAATCTAAAAAGCAATTTTCTAAAGCAATATTTTTGTAAAAACTGAAAAAAACTGAATTTATTTTTACTAAAAACTGAAAAAACGAAAAAAAAATTGCTTTAAAAAAATTGAATATTATTTTCTAAAACAATGATTTTTGTAAAATCTAGAAAAAAAACTGAAAAGCAATTTTCTAAAGCGGTAAAAACTGGAAAAAAACTGAATTTTTTTAAAACTAAAAACAGATAAAAAGAAAATATTTGTTTTTTTTCAGTTTTTTCAAAAACATTGCTTTAGAAAATTGCTTTTCAATTTTTTGTTAGTTTTTACAAAAACAATTGTTTTAGAAATTATTTTTCAGTTTTTTTTAAGCGATATTTTTCTAAAAACTGGANTTTTCTAAAAACTGAAAAAAAATATTTTGATTTTAATTAATTAAAAAAAGAAAAGAAAAAATATTGTTTCCGTTAAAAAAGGGCAAATTTGCACAACTATTGGACGGTTTGGGCATATTTGGGCCAAACTATTAACGACGGGCATATTTGTCCTATTTTAAATAGTTCACGGGCATATTTGGACCTTTTCCGTTCTTAATATGGGGCAAAATAAAATGTTAAGAATGCCATGACCAAGTAAATACACGCGCTCAACACTCCTTAGAATACTAAACCTGTCTATGGTTCCTTAGGTCGTAATTTAATAATTTTCCTTAGAATATATACTGAGTTATTTTTTTAAGGGGGATTAGTCTAACCATTTGACAACCATCATATGTCCACTATAGAGCCTAAGTGGTCCCGACCATTTGAGGAATTAGTGGCCCAAATATGTTTTTCAGCAAAACTTATTAAAATCATGGTATCTACCGATATTTAAGCAAGAATGTAGTGATTTATTTCAACAAGGGATCATACTATAAAATTCCAACCACTCAAGTTTATTTTTCTATAAAGGAAATAGAGTCATAGATGAAGTTGCGGAAACAGTCTTAGTGGTTTTAAACAGCAGCCTCTTATTAATTTCTTTGTTGAGTTTGTTGTTATTCTATTTCTTGTTTCGGGATTTAAATAAGGCGTTAAATCATAACATACAATTCACAAAAGTTATTACCTAAGCTCAGTAGTGTAACATATAAAGGCCATATTAACTTACTAGAGACTGGTTCCAAGATCGATATATCAAGACAAATTTGAAATATCACAAAATATTTCTACTGTACATCCACCATTGGCTAATAAAACTTATTGTTTCTCAAGTTGCCAGTAAATATTAGTGCATGTTATTAATAGAAAAATAGGAGTGATTTTTGCCTTCTCTCTAATATAAAAAGAAACGGCCAAAATTGAATTTTTCCAGAATGAGTTTTGAAATAGTTATACACATGTATTGAGCTCTATTTCTTTTGCTTTTATTTTATTTTTTTAAAAAACCCCACAAATTTTACCAATATACTTCACCCGTCTCATAATATGTGCCGTGATTCTCTTGTGCACGCCCTTTAAGAAAGAATAATTTTTTACTATTTTACCCTTATTAAATATTTTATGTGTCATCTATATCAATGACATTATCATATTTTTGCTAAATGTGAATGCAATTGATTATTAAGGGTAAAAAAGGAAAAATATTATCAATTTTGTCTTGAACTTCTAAAATGATAAAAATAATTTGAGACAAACATTTTTAATAACCACAACACATGTTATGAGACGGAGGAAATATTATTTGACAAGAACAATTTTATGTTTTTGTCCGGGAGGAGCTGTCCAAGGATTTTGATGAGGTCGTTTTTGGCTTTATACAAACGGAAAAGGTCCAAATATGCCCGTGAACCATTTGAAATAGGACAAATATGCCCGTCGTTAATAGTTTGGCCCAAATATGCACAAACCGTCCAATAGTTGTGCAAATTTGCCATTTTTTTAACGGCAACAATAGTTTTTCTTTTCTTTTTTTAGTTAATTAAAATCAAAATATTTTTTTTCTAAAGCAATTTTTCTAAAAGTTTTTTTTTACTAAAAACTGAAGAAAAAAAACGGAAATAAAACAGAAATAAAATCTAAAAAGCAATTTTCTAAAGCAATATTTTTGTAAAAACTGAAAAAAAACTGAATTTAACTTTACTAAAAACTGAAAAAACGAAAAAAAATTTCTTTAAAAAAACTNAAAAAAAAACTGAATTTATTTTTATTAAAAAATGAAAAAACGAATAAAAAACTGAAAAATTATTTTCTAATACAATGTTTTTGTAAAAACAGAAATAAAATCTAAAAAGAAATTTTCTAAAGCAATATTTTTGTAAAAACTGAAAAAAAACTGAATTTATTTTTACTAAAAACTGAAAAAACGAAAAAAAATTGCTTTAAAAAAATTGAATATTATTTTCTAAAACAATGATTTTTGTAAAATCTAGAAAAAAAAAACTGAAAAGCAATTTTCTAAAGCGGTAACAACTGCAAAAAAACTGAATTTTTTTTAAACTAAAAACAGATAAAAAGAAAATATTTGTTTTTTTTTTTTTCAGTTTTTACAAAAACATTTCTCCAGAAAATTGCTTTTCAATTTTTTGTTAGTTTTTACAAAAACAATTGTTTTAGAAATTATTTTTCAGTTTTTTTAAGCGGTATTTTTCTAAAAACTGGAAAAAATATTTTGATTTTAATTAATTAAAAAAAGAAAAGAAAAAATATTGTTTCCATTAGAAAAGGGCAAATTTGCACAACTATTGGACGGTTTGGGCATATTTGGGCCAAACTATTAACGACGGGCATATTTGTCCTATTTTAAATAGTTCACGGGCATATTTGGACCTTTTTCGTTATACAAATGAGGGAAAAGAAATAGTGGAGGTTAATTGTCGCATTAATTCTAGCTAGCGTTTGGCCATAGATCCCAAATTTATTTTGAAAAATCTGATTTGGGTGAAGTTTGATTTGAAGATGAAAATGTGTTTGGACATACGCTTTCAAAACATATTTTCCAACTTTATTTTGAAAAAATATGTATATAATTCCCAAGTTTTGGGATTTTGGCCCAAAATCAGCTCTGGGATTTGAAATTTAGAATTTGGGATTTGGCCAAAACATGAGCAAAATTTATGGCCAAACATGAGTTTTGAAAATAAATCCCAAATTTATTTTGGGAAAACTTATGGCCAAACGGGGCCCTAGTATTTTGGAAGTTCATTTATGACCTTTTACAAAATAATGGCAGGAAGGTGAGCTACATTTTATATTGATTGTTTAAAGTAATAATCTCGACATCTGTAGCTTTAAACTAAAATCTGACTAATATTGCTAGAGATATTATTGGGAGTTTTCCACATAGTAAATGACTTTTCAACTAGAGAAAGATTGATTTCAACCTCCCCTAAACGTAAAAGTCGTCTATTTTTAAGTCTTTGACAATGTAAATATGAGGTGTTTGGTTAAGCTTATAAGCTGGTCAAACTGGCTTATAAGCACTTTTTGGCTTATCTATGCGTTTGGTAAAATTAAAAGTGCTTATAAGTTAAGTGCTTATAAGCCAAAAATAAGCCAAAAGCCATAAGTTGGTCTCCCCCAACTTATCAAATTTCAGCTTATAAGCACTTTAAGTTTGACCAAAATATTTATTATTCTATCCCTAAAATACTTCTTTCTAAAACAAAACTCTTCGTATACCCAGTTCTTCAGCTGCATATTATTAATTTCAGCACTTTTATCCAA